GTCATACTGGATTGGCTGTCACCAATGCCCATTTGGAAATGGGAGAGGATTATTTGGGAATAGCCCCAACATTCCCAGATGTCTTAACCCAACACCGTGGGATATCTACGCAGCTGAGATTCCTTGCTTGAGCAACCACCGAGGGAAACTACAGTACCTTGGCGCCGATTCTGGAAGTTACCAGCTCCGCGTTTGTGGTACCAACCCCTCGCATGGTTCTGAACACAAGGGATACGCTGAGCAGCACTTCGCATGCGCTGTTGTACTCAAGGCAATGTGAGTAGCAGACCGCGTGGTGGACAGGGTTACTACTAGTGATTCTGCTCTCCATCCCGCACCACTACGATGCCGAATGGGTACGACTCGCGACAACAATACGGCATGGACCAACATTCGACAAAAGCTGCATGTATCTGATACAACGCTGCTACAGAAGCACGACTATGACACGACTGCCATACCACCAACACTTCGTGATCTTCACACGTGGACCAGATGCGGGTAACAGCATGCACAAATCGGACAACATAGCCACTCATCTGCACGTTACAGCACACTGTTCCAACCATTCACATCTCCAACTCCGACTTGCATCTGCCCGTCCTGGAGTTTGCCTATAAGTATGCTCCTGACGCCGCTACTGGATAGACGCTGTACTTCGTCTGTTACGGACGCCACCCGATCACATGACAACAGCTAACCATACCAGCCACAGTCCAACCGGCTTCCGATTTCATCGCCATCGTCCACCATCTTGTACATCGACCACACAAGCGCCCTCTTGGACATCCAACATCAGCACAAGCACTTGGCAACTCATCACTACCCTTCTCGAGACCATAATCTCGACATCAGCCAACTTCCGTCCAAGCTTGAACCTTGCTTCTGCGGGACTATCCTCTTTGAAGCAACGGTCCCTTCGGTCAACTTTTGCTTCCGCCTACCAGCCACTTGGAAGATCCATAACGCCTTCCATACCAACTTCTTAAACCCTATCAAGACCAAACACGCCCTACACCGAATGCCAACCAGCGTCGTCGCCTGTGTTCATCCACGACATGGGACAACTACGTGCTTGGACACCGTCGTCGCCAGAATGGCACTCTGGAGCTTCTTCTTTGCTAGAAGGGTTCTAATCCTTCTAAGGCTGTTTCTCTGAATCCGACATGGGTAACGCCCGTCGTCCTCTTCGCGACTACCTTGTCAAGCAGGGTGTTACGTCTACCACCCAGCTTTGAGGGGGGGAAGTGTGAGAGTACGACACCGTTTCACAAATTTCCCCTTTCCATATTTCCTTTCTATTTCATTCCTCTTATTATCCTCATTCATTTGGTCTTTATCTCATCTCATTTGGTTTCCTATTCCTCATTTTCCATTATCCTTCGGTTTATCCTGTTATTATAATTATATCACCGACCAGGCTCGGGGTGTACTGGCGCGCTATATCTAGCGTAATCCTGCAGTAATCCCTTATAGCCAATAGCCTCGCGTGGCTATACGCATGGTGATTCTATATTCTAGAAGGGTCTATTCCCTTTGGATAGGATAAGCTTGGTTACCTGATGTAATCTGGAAGTATAAAAGCACCTTGTACTGATTGATAGTGCAACATTGAGCAAACCTTTCCTCGAGACATTCGATCCTGTGACACCGATGCCCCCCATTTTCTGTGGCCGTTCGCTGTTCGCTACGCTGCTCACCAGCTTAACTGGTGGCCACGCTCCCAACAGCCGCAGGTTTCGCCGACCCACCTTTGGACCGGGTCCCCGGGTGACGCGTCTGCGTTCCACGTCTGGGGCTGCCTTGCTCACGTTCGTGCCTCTGGCACGGACAAGCTTACTGCCCGCACTGTCCCCTGTGTCTTCCTCGGTTTCCCCCTGGACTCGTCTGATTGGCTTTTCTAGCACCCACCGTCTCACCCCTTCCTCCACTCTCGTCGTCACCTTTGACGAGTCTGTCTCCTTCTACCGCCGCTTCCCTAACCGCGGTCTCCCGGTTGCCTCGCCCCTGTTCCTTGCTCCCTCTCCCCCGGTAGCCCCTGCTCCTCTCCCACCTCGCCCTGCCCCGTCTGGTGTCTCTCACGTCACTCCCCTCCCGTCGGTTGTCCCCGTTGAGGAGTCCGCTGACTCTGGTGGTACCCCCGGCCCGTCCTTGCCGCGTCCCCCTTCCCCGGTGTCTTCGCCTCCACTTTCGCAGTCGCCGCTTTCGCCGCAGCCGCCGCCGCCATCGCCGCCGCTGCCGTCGCCGCCGCTCTTGGCCCCTGGGGGGTGCTGGTGTGGAGGAGGGTGTTCGTCTTGCGGCTCCTGGGGGTGCTGCCGGTGTTGGAGGGGGTTCTCGCTCTGGGGGTGTTGGTTCTAGGGGTGCTGCTGTTGAGGGTTCTGCCGACGGTCGTCCTGCCTCTGCTGGTCCGAGGGTTCCGGCCCAGCCGTCGCAGCAGGTGCAGCAGCCGTCGTCGCTGGTCTCCGCTCTCCGCCTGCTCGGCCTTCCCTCCCCGGACCGCTCGCGGGTGTCTCCCCCACCGCCTGCTGACCTTCCTGTCTACGGTCCTGTGTTTCCGCCGCCAGACTCGTCTCCAACCCGTCTTCCTCCTCGTTCCCCTCCTGTGTCCCCTCCGCTGTCCCCTGACCCTACACCTCCGTCCCACGTTTGGTCTCGCCGTCCCTCCCGTGCTCGTCCTGTCTCTCCTGTCCAGCGCTCCCACCCTATGTTGCTCCGTTCCCACTCGTCTCGTCCTCCCCTCCTTCCGTCCCCTCCTCCCTCGTCCCTTGCTGTTGCACCTCCTCCGTTCTCTGACTACTTCCGTGCCGCTCGTCCCCTTGGGTCCTTGCCTCTCTTGTTCCCGACCCTTCTGTTCCTATCTCGCGCCTTGACGCGCTTGTCGCTGACTTCGCCTCTACCCGCCGCCTTGACTACGCTACCGCTCTGGTCTCTGACCCTGCCCGTCCTCCGTCCGTCGTGGGTGCTCCTTCCCTTGGCAGTGACGTTCTAGAGGACAGGTAGTACGAGCTTGCTTTCCTTTCCGAGGCTGCTCCCCATCTCTGCTCCATGCTGTTAGTCCCTGAGGGTGACCCAGACGCCTTCGACATCCCGACCCCTCGCACCTACGCTGAGGCCACCTCGGGACCTTGGGCCTCTCAGTGGATAGCTTCCATGGAGCAGGAGATGGCATCTTGGAGGTCCACCGGCACTTACGTCGACGCAGTTCCCCCGCCTGGGGTGAACGTAGTCGATGGTCGGTGGCTCTTCAAGGTGAAGCGCCCTCCTGGAGAGCCGCCTGTCTTCAAGGCGCCCTACGTGGCCAGAGGTTTCAGTCAGCAAGAGGGGGTTGACTTCTTCCAGACCTTCGCCCCGACCCCGAAGATGACCACTCTTCGAGCGCTGCTACACGTAGCAGCACAGCGCGACTACGAGCTTCACTCCCTCGACTTCTCTACTGCCTTTCTTCAGGGCAGCCTACACGAGCAGGTCTACCTGCGCCGACTACATGGCTTCACCCCCCTGGGACCCAGTGGATTCTTAGGCGTCCGGTCTACGGCCTGCGTCAGGCTCCGTGCGAGTGGCACGACACGCTGTGCGCCACGTTAGCAGACCTGCAGTTCTTTCCATCCTCTGCTAACCCCTCACTATTTGTGCGGTCCGGCCAGACTCCGTTATACATCCTTGTCTACGTAGACGACCTGGTCTTCGCTACTGCTGACAGGGACGCACTGGCCTCTGTGAAGGCCGAGCTGCTGAAGCGACACACCTGCACTGACCTTGGAGAGCTGCGTCGCTATCTTGGCCTGCTGATCTCTAAGGACAGAGCAGCACGCACCATCACTCTGACACAGTCACACTTGGTGCGTCAGGTCCTTCAAAGGTTCGGTCTTCAGTTCTCCTCCGCACAGCCCACACCTCTACCTGTAGACCATGGGCTCTCCGCTCCCGTTCCTGAGGAGCCAGTAGAGCCCAGTGGCCCCTACGCAGAGGTGGTGGGTTGCCTCATGTACCTGATGACTTGCACTCGCCCAGATCTCGCATACCCTCTTAGCATCCTGGCTCGCTTTGTGGCTACAGGCAGACACCGACCTCAGCACTGGTCTGCCGCAAAGAGGGTTTTGCGTTATCTTGCGAGTACATTGGGCATGGGGTTAGTGCTAGGAGGACGCAGGCCAGTGGTCCTTACTGGGCACACAGACGCTTCTTGGGCAGACGACTCTGAGACGCTCAGGTCGTCGCAGGGCTACTGTTTTAGCCTTGGTTCGGGTGCTATCTCTTGGGGATCCACTCGCTCGTCGTCTGTGGCTCAGTCCAGCTGTGAGGCTGAGATCTACGCTGGTGCCATGGCGACACAGGAGCTCCGCTGGCTGACCTTCTTGCTCACAGACTTAGGTGAGTGGCCTAGCTCTGCCCCAGTCCTGTACGCTGACAACAGGGCCATGATACTCCTGTGTCAGGAGCCTCGGCTTGAGGGCCGAGCGAAGCATATCCAGCTGCGGTACTTCCTCCTGCGCGAGTTACAGCAGCGCTGCCAGGCCCGCGTAGTTCACTTGGCCTCAGGTGCCAACACAGCTGATATCTTTACTAAGGCGCTTGCGTCTAAAGATCATCAGCGGCACTGTGTTCAGCTTGGTCTTGTTCCTGTAGCTACACACCTGTTAGGATCCTGATTGTGTAATCTCTATTATATATACCTGTCAGACTGGCCTTGTGGCCTTACCTCCAGTGGCTAGACTAGTAGTGCCGCCCTGGCTTGCTTTAGTTTTGTTTGTATTCTTGTTGACTGGTCTCCAGACCCCTGCCTCAGTGGTTGGACTAGTAGTGCCACCCTGAGCTGTTTGCTTCTTGCTTGGCTTCACCCCTTGTCTAGCCTAGGGGGTGTGTCAACTTATACATATATATAAGTTATAGGCTAGACTGGGGTATGTTTCTAGTGAGTACAACCAGCTAGTACTTGTTCTAGGTTTCTCCTTCTAGTTGATTATTCAGTTCTTAATTTGACACGGGGGAATACGAAACCTATACAGTGTAGTATACATTTGCAAAGCACAAATATTCTACAACTAGAGGTCATACAGCAGAAGGCGGTCGGAAGCACCAACCCGGGCTAGCATCAAACCCCAGCCTATTATCTGGATATGGAAAAGGGGCATATGGTTATACAAACCACAACTGCTCTATACCTAAGGCTTAGTAGTTTCACAGAAGCTGGTTGTGTTGTGGTTCACCTCCCTCCCCACCACCTCTGCTCACATCGAACCCTAGCCAGAATTTCAAAGAGCCATCGCTGAAAAACCCTAGCATTCTCCGCATCCAACCAACCCCTGTGCTCCAACGACCCACACCCAGCCTACAGGTATGCTGTTGCCTCATTCCGCCTTTAGTCATCCTTGCCTCCCTGCGCGATAGTATTTCCCCTATCCCACCTTCCGCGCAGCCTTCCGCCAGCGCCATCCGCCCGATCGCTCCGCCTGCTCCTTGCTTCTCTTGTGTGTCGACCACGCTGACGTCAGCGATTTCGATAGCAGCACATTGCTTGAAACCAGGGTCGCGTCGAGGAGTCTCGTGAGGCAGTGGACGGCGGAAACACAGCAGGATAAGATCGGGTCGTGTCGCCACACCTCCTCACTCCAGCCTCGCTCAAACGCAGCGTCGCCGGCGGTGGCGAAGGTGGCATCGCCGTCGTCGTAATCGTCGCGGCTCATGAGTCGGATCATCGGCTTGTTGATTCGCTCGCGCGAGTCGCTGTGGAACAGCTCCAGCGCGAAGAGAAACTGCGCCTCGCGCGCCCCGCCACTTGCAGTCACGCCGCCGCGTTGCACTTCCGGGCCCGCCGGCTTTGAGCCGAAACTCCACGCCGGAGGTAAGTGAGGCGGCGTTTCGTAAAATCCGCCGCGATTGGTGCTGCATAGCCGAGCAAGGTGCTCCCAAATCGGCGGTTTCCGATACACTGCGGCGCCGCCTGTCGCGCAATCCTTGTCATTTCTCCAGCGCCTGTTACAGCTTCTGCGCGCCGCGCCAGGCTCAGCGCTGTCGCCGTCGTCGCAACCCTTCCAGGTATTTCCGCTCTCCCAGTCGCACGCAAAGAGCTCCCCGTCGCTAGCGCGGTCGCAGGGGGCATGATCGGCGACAGGGAAGGTCCGCGAGAGATGCGGAAACATGAAGCAGAAGAAAGGCGGCGGGAAACGACAGCACTCCTCAACGCTGCGACAGCACGGCGATTCGCAGCAGCACGTGCGACAGGTGGTGAGTGCGACAGGCCATCCACTCCTGACGCGGCCCGGCTCTGGGCGTTGCCGCAAGTCACCGTCGCAGTACGCCGCCTGTTCTCCATGATCGATAGGGTCGAAACTCTTCCACCCCGTCTCAGCGTCTCGACAATTCGTCGTCATCCCTCTCGCGCACGGAGCACGGGCTCTAGTAGTACAATCAGCGCCGAACTCTGGTGAGCTTCTGCTGCTCTCACAAAATGGGTCAGTCTCGCGGTAGTATCGCGGATTTCGTCTGTTTGAAGTGCGTGCTGGAGGGTCTCGGCAACGACTCGGATCATCGCGCTCCGCTCGAAGCTTGTAGAAGTGGGAAAGCTCGACTGCCCTTACAGTTGGATGGATGCACCTCCCGAAACGATCAGCGCTATGTACACGTTTGGGGTGACTCACAAAACGATTCAGCCGCCCAGCAGCTAATCGTTTTCTCCGCAACAAGACTAAGAGAGTGCGTAAAGACGAATAGGTAACCACCAGATGCAGCAGTGATGTCACGCCCACCGCGATTGTGGGCCATCGTCACGTGATTGGACCAAGTGACAGCACAGATTCCAGCTGCGCGCGTCCGTCGGCGGCAGCAGCGGTGTAATGTAATGGCGTTTCTTGTGTGTACTGAACGGTGCTGGAAACCTACAGTACACTAGAGGTCTGAAAGAGGCCCAAGTTTTTTTCGGGCGGTTACTCCAGTAACGGACGCCTTCAAATCGCTGGCAAATTGGGCCATGGTTACCCGTTTGGCAGGAACCTTGGAACATGGAAGACATTCGTTGTTTCTCCCGCGTACCCCGGTAGCTGTCGCACAATCACACCCTGGTTCCGAGTCAACCTACAATTGTTCCTTCTGCATGTTCGCTCCCAGCAGTGTCGCAAGTGGTTGAGCCGCCCAAAATTGGGCCAGTCCATGACGGGCCGTTGACTGCATATCCGTGGCAGTCGGACTGACGAGTGCATGGAGGCCTCTGACGAATGGGCGGTTCACTGGACGTCATGTGTATAGGGTCGGTCTCTATGGCTTGAGCTTGTTATTTGGATGGCACTCTCAAAACTGCATCACACGCGTGAACCACGTCAGCACTTGCGGGCGGAGCGAAGGTCAATTGTCTCATGGTGCACTAGACTGGAGCTCGGACTGGGCTGAAACGTTTCCTCTTCTAGGAAATGGACGAGAAAGCAACGATTCGAAGTGGCAACAGCTCACGTGTCTCCACTCCAGCTCAAAATACACCGCACTGTACATCTCAAAGTTTGAACTGCAAAGCTCAAACCTGAGGGCGTGTCCCCAAAAATCGATAACCCGTTTTTGACACGCGGAGCCGTTTGACGTACGCAATGTGAATCGATTTTGAAACAGATCCCGATTTGGGAACAGGTCCGAGATGAAGGGTGCAGTTCGAAAAGACAGCACCGAGACCAGCACAGACATAGGAGCGGGTAACGGGATCCCGCCATGCGAAATCCACGCGACGTGCGTGTAACAAAATTAGGGCCAACGGCGCAGCGGGGTTAGGTTCTTCGCTAGCGACGTGCGAGGCTGCAAAGTGTCGCTAGAGAATTTCGCAAGAGGTGGTGCTGGTACTGGTTGGCAAACTGGATTTTTGTGTGGTCTATTTTTGTCGTGCGGTGCGGAGGTAACAGGAAACGCGCGCTGGTGTCCGCTAATTTCGGGTGTGAGCTGGGCGTGTCTTGTTCGGGCATGTTTTATGGTTACAGACCTAAAAGTGGTAACTAAACTCGGTGTTGAACAAGGCACGTACTTTAGTGGCACGCCCTGACTTTTGCTCAGAGTTCGAGCTGACCGAGTGTGGTGGAGCGTGGAGGATGAACTAATCGGGACGTGGGCGTGGCTTCTGAATCACTGCACTGAACCTTATGCACCACACACCAACGCGCAGAAATCGCTTTGCACCTAGCTATGCCGCATTACCACGCGGAAACCCATCACCATCCGATTGTGTTGTTGCTGCCCAGCTGCGACTACTGCTGTTTCTCGCGCGGCCCACGGTCTCGACGAAGTGCCCCCAGAAGCCACGCCATGGATGCCTGACAGCCATCCCGTCGCACCTTCGCAGCGTCCTCGGCCTTGTTTGTTGATGATGGCGGAGAGGGGGGGGGGGGGGAGGAGGGGGGCACTGGCAGCAATTCGACTAGCCAGGGGGTTTTCCCCGCCCACCCCTTGCCTCTTACTGATTGCGATTTGGCCAGTGAGGTCAGATGATCAACCTCCCATCTCGTCTCGTGGTTCACTCCGCCAATCGATCCGTCAGCTTCGACCAGAACTGACACCAGCTCCGTTACCAGAATGATTCGTTTACTCCGCACAATGTTCCCGTCACAGCAAAGCGGGTCCTCGTTCTAGGTGTTCAACTTCACTGACCAAGTTGAACAATCCACAGAACTGTTCAAAAGAAAGCACAAGTCAGGAATGAGTTGTTTTGGGTTCAAATCCAAGTTCCAAACTACCAAAATCCGGATACCCTTGAAAAAACAAATTGTACGAAACGTTTAATCTCAATTTAGTGTTTCTCGAGTCAGGAACCCCGACATCAGCTTAGGCAGTGCTCGATGTTTTTGCCCGCGTGAAGTCTACCTAGCTTAGGCCATAGGAAAGGGGGCACTGTCTACGCACCCAGAAATGTTCAGGGTGGAAACAAAAAAAAATCTTCGACAGCCCAGTTTCAGGTTGTAAAGTAACCGCGGTCTAGGTGTATAGGATATTCTGGTTACCAAGTTGGCACTTTTCAGTCTAAAGCGGGTGACCATTGTTGATTCGTCTACGTTCCTCGGACAATAGTGTGAGGCCTAAGAACGTCCTTTCTGCACGTTTGGAGGTCTCAGTATCAGATGTGGTAACTGTTGGAGATCAGAGGGCCTCTGTGAGTTGAGCCGTTCCCCGTGTGTTCGAATCCATGAGCCTGTAAATAGAAACAATGCGACTAATGATTAAGCGTAAAACTGGAAAAAAGGTGTTCAGTATGGGAAAGCGTTCCCTCCGGGAAAATTACTGTCGTGGACTGCTCACAAATCTTTTCATACTTTCGTGGACAGCCCCTACTTTCACGGACGCCACAGCAACCTTTCGCTTCTCCCATGGACTCCGTCCCTACTTTCATGGACATCCGCCTTACTTCCATGGACAAGGTCGAAATCGCAGGAAATAGGCGAAAACTCAACTGTACCAAAAATGACGGGCGCTGAAAAAAAAAAAAAAAAAAAAAAAAAAAAAAAAAAAACAGCGGCTCAGCGTGCGTCGCAAAGAGTCGCACACTACAGTGCCCCAAACCAAAATCCGAAACAGAATCTACCAGAAATCGGGAACATGACTTACACGCCAGGTTTTCGTTTGGTGCGTTTGGCACAGAAAGTCCTGTGACGTGTAATTCGGCAAGCAGTATCCAAGAGAGTAAATGAGTGCATGGGAGGGAGTGGGGGAAAGGGAGTGGGAGTTAGAGTGCGTGTGCGGTGATAGAGATCTCAGGTCATACCGAGAGGGGAATTCGACTGTGTGCAACCGCATGCATGTCTCCTCCCTAACCTTGCCAACGCCTCCGCTCAGCGAGGTCTCTGTTTCTGCAGCTAGCACGCTGACAACAACCCGCGGGTCCCATTTTCTGCATGGCCAGGCTCACGCCCGTGTGTGCTGCAGTGGCGAAAATGGATCATGGAAGCAAGTGGCGGGAAGCAGCGGGAGGTGGTAGGTGGGATGCTTGGCGTACAGAAACGGCTCGCAGCGCTACGTCAGAAAAATGGGGTTGCTGCATAGCCCCCCCCCCCCCCCCCCCCCTTGCAGGTACATATCGTGGGGGTTACCTGCAGAAACCATCCGCAAAGTTCCCCCCCTCTCCCCATTAGGTAACAACAACCCTTCCAAGTGTCCCCCGATGTGTTTGACGAATGATCGGATCGGGGGATACCCGATCCGTGATAGGTGGTGAGTGCTGCGAGTTTCGTCAACCCATGTCACCAACATTTCGCTGCCTTCCCACGTTGTCGGAACAAATCAACACACGTGGGTCATCGCCCCCTGTAGTGGTTTCCTATTATGCCAACAACATATCGTGCTGGTTATAAAAATAGAACCACATTGCCTGAAAGGGGCGCAGGGTCGCTATCCATCTTCCATCTCCCATCCTATGCCCAGCATGGTCTAGGGCAACACCTTCAACCCATGATAGATTCCCAATTGGTAAGCTACCATGGTCGGCACTGATCGTCCGCGCGTGGCATGGTTATATGTTTGGGAAAGGGGACTGTATAAGGGTATCGCATCAAGTGACGATCAGGGTCATCGCCATCTCCCGTCCAGTTGGCGAGTGGGCGCGTTAACAACCCTCCTGTCACACCAGTATCCGCTCGTGATATGCGGTTTGCGACGAAGAATCACGGTGCAATCACTGCCTCATGTCGCCCGTCGCCGTGTCTATTGCTGCGGTGCCGACGCCAACTCTCTCAGCCAGCGCATCTGTGGCCCGACCTGCCGACGCGTCTGGTGGAGGGGTTCGCGGGCGGGTTGTGGCGGACAGAGGATCTTGTCAATGTGCGAGGGGTGGGGGTGATGGTTATTGTACAAATGGCAAATACGAGAGTACGGATTGGGCCGCGTGCCAATCGTGACGGGCAAGAACTGGAATTGAAGCGCCGACTGCGAGGGGGTTGACGCAACGCGGCTGCCTAGCCGAGCAGGATCACCAACCACACTACGCAGGCTTAGACCCAGAGCGGGCGGGGTGCTCGACAACTGAAATGCAACGTCCGAGTTCGTCCATAACGCACGCCAGCGTACCTGGGCTGCCCGTTGGAGCGATGAGAGCGAGGTCGCCAGCATTCATCGCTGACAACCGTGTGCGGAAATCGTTGACGACCTTGTCGGCTTGGTCATACATGATCGTCAACATGGTGGCCTTCACGTTGTCTAGGCCCAATACCGACACGTCGAGCTGCGGCTGTGTGAAATAAGCATCGAGGAGCCCCCGCACGATGCGGGTCGCCTCGTCGATCGCCTGATCTGCCGTCGATACGATATCCCAGCAGCCTTGTGTGTACCAGCCTCTGACTTGAACGCGCATGCTCACCGTGAACGCCTCTCGTTTCACGGCCTGCACCACCGCGAGGTCGACGGGGACCAGCATCACAGGCTCCCCGTGGGCGTCTAATAGTTCTTTGATGCCGATGGTTGCTGTGGACACGTTGTCGCCGGGCGGGGTAGACGTCCTGGACGCGTCTAGCGCCGGGGGGTGGTGGTGGGGGGGGTCCCGCGACCACTCCGCTTGGCTGGTACTCCTCGGTGGTGGTCGTTTCGCCAGAGTGGGATGCGCGTGACATTAGTTACGGGGTCGCCACCACGACCCTGCCGACAGGGGAGTCACGCGGGGTTCCGGGGTGCGCAGAACGCGATGCGATGGGCGCTAATGGGCGCGCATGGT